GCCCACGTCATTAAAAGATCAACTGTAGCCTGAGATAAGAACTGTTTAGGGTAAGAATTTGCATGTAACAAGTTTCTTAGGGTATATCTAGACTACACCTCTCTGGCGACAGAGAGATATAGATTAGGCACACTGACATTGCTAATGAAGCAGGGATTTAAATATCCTGAGCCTCATTAGATAAACATGGCCGCCGCTTTTTTTCAAAACGAAGTTTTTTTGAAAAAATGGCAGTCTAGACGTGGATCTGTCAAAAATAAACCCTTTTTTGACAGCTCCTGTAAACCTCATTTTTTGAGGAACACAGGAGCTGTCAAAAAAGGGTTTATTTTCAACAGAGCTGCATCTAGACTGCTGGGGGTTTTTTCGAAAAAACTCTGTTTAGAGAAAAAGCGGTGGCTATGTTTATGCTAATGAGGCACGGGATATTTAAATCTCTGATTCATTAGCAATGTCGATGTGCCTAATCTACATCTCTCTGTTGACAGAGAGGTGTAGTTTAGACGTAGCCTCAGTGTATTAGAATTAGCTGGCACATTTTATTTTAAATTAGTAACTTACTTTGATCTGTCTGTTTTCACTTGCATTCACTTATATCTGACTTTTTATAGTTCATAAAAACACTTTTGTTTACTATCCAGTCCCTTGAAAAGAAAGAGTTACTCACCTTGTGCAGTAACGGTTGTTCTTCGAGATGTGTCCCTGTGGGTGCTCCACTCTGGGTGCTGGTGCGTCCTCGCGCCGGCGACCGGAGACTTTTTCTAGCTGTTTCTGCCGTGGCGCACAGGTGCCGTAGCGCCCTCTAGTGTCATTGGGACTGAAGGGGCACCTGCGCGCGCGCGGCTCCTCCGTTCCTTCTCTACCCGCCAGAGTATCAGGCTCCAAGCAGGGGAAGGAGGGAGGGTAGTGGAGCACCCACGGGGACACATCTCGAAGAACAACCGTTACTGCACAAGGTGAGTAACTCTTTCTTCTCCTTCGAGTGGTCCCCGTGGGTGCTCCACTCTGGGTGACTACACAGCAGTTGTCGGCTCGCGGAGGTGGGTTTGGAGCCGTGTGGTAGTAACTGTGGATAGCACTGCTTGTCCAACCACCATAGAAGATGCTATTGAGGTGGAAAGAGCATAGTAATGCTGGCAAGGAGAAGTGGGGATTAGAAGTCAAGTGAAATGCTGACAATGCAGGAGGTGATGCAGAAGATAAGAGCCCACGAAAGCTCAAGATACCATCTACATGTTCTGTTAGTCTATAAAGTGCTACCAGACCATTTGCTTGCTGTTTTTTTCTATAACAGACTAACTCGGCTACCGCCTGAAGCGTCTACAACAGGTGCCACTGTTGTAGAAGCTTCTTCCACACCATCAGGATCTACTGGTAGATCTTGGAGCCTTTGACAGGTGATCCTGACTGGTTTGGCTGGGAGGCTATCAAGTGCTGGCACTTCAGCTGCTCCTTTCCCCACTGCCCTGCTGCTCCTACTTGTTGTGCAGAGTGGGGGAGACAGGGTACGGGAGAGGGGGACAGAGTGACAGGTGTCCCCTGCCTTTATCTCCACAGACCGAAGAGGACAGGGGTGGGTATTTGGGCCTCTGTGAAGGGGTGGGGCAGGGCGGGGGTATTTGGGTTTGAGGGAGATCCTGGACTGACAAATTTAAAAAGTGATATTGTGCTTAAAAAAGTTGGAGACCACTGTACTACAAGGAAGACAGTTTTGTATGCAGGGGTGATTGGTGAGAGGGGAGCTGGGGGGGAGGGGGACTAATGACCATGTTACCTCCCCCAGGCAGGGGAAGGGCTGGGAAGGGTTCCCTCTGTCCCAGACCCCAGCTCTCCACATCCCTGTTCCCTCCCCACCCTGCCTCTTCCCCCAACTGAGGCTGGTTGGGGGGATAACAGAGCCAGAGGCCAACGCTGGCAGCAGGGCTCTGCCAGACCCAGACTCACTGCTTTGCTCACTGGGCTGCATTGCTCTACTCCTGATGGGGAATGTAGGGGGGTCTCACCCCCTCCCCTGGAGAGGTGCAGCTGGGAGAGCAAAGCAGCTGGGGCCGCCTTGCTCTGCTTCTCCCTGCTGCTGCCAGTGAGTGCAGGGGGGACAGACTAGCCCTCCAGCTAGTTACCCTGCTGGCTATTGGCTGGCTCCTCCCACCCATGGTGTTTGGGAGCACGTTATCCCCACACATTGTCCTTGTTTGTGAGGACAGGAATCCAGGAGAACTGAATCCATTCCCAGCTCCAAAAGGTGTCTCATGCCACCGTGCCCAAGTCGCTTTCTCCCTTTGAGCCTCCCTTCTCCCATCTGTAAACTGGAGACGATGATCATGGAGACAGATTACAAGGCTCAGTCTCAGTGAGGCACCCTCATGGAGATAGACTTGAATGCTATTTCCACCACAGTCAATGGTGCACTGGGCTCAAACGCAGAAGGAACCCTGCCCGCTCAGGAAGAACCAGACTCATTCTGAAAAGCAAGAGCTAGCCCTTGGGAAGCTCATCTTTGAGCTGGGCTGGGTCGCTTAATTTTTAATGGGTTATGGAGCCTGTGGGCCTCAGTCAGGGTGGGCATGCCCATTGCAAGCTGTTCAGTGATGGACATGAGAGGCATGGGCTGAACCATCCGGGAAGACACATGTTCCAGCTGGAAAATTCTCATTCCCATCAGATCTCATTGCTCCCCTCAGCGGAGAAATCAGGGAAGGACCATGGTTGTGAATTCCCCTCTAACATTAAAGGTGGTTTCCCCAAGTCAAAACTGAGGCACTTTCACAGGGAAATACCCTGGTGCTCGTGGTACTTCAGGGGCTATTCAGAGGCATTTAGTGTCCAAAGCTATCCAGAACCTTCCAGCAGCACTAACTCCGCTGACTGGATTATGTGTCTTGGCCTGAGCCGCAGCCCTGTCCCTGCTAGAATCAGGTTACCTGTTCTGCACCAGAAAATCAACAATGTGCAGGGAGGTTCGGTCTGCTAACAACACTGCCAAGTGGAGAACGGTTTCCCCGGATTCCTATGAACAAGATACAAACAGCAAGTGTCTGGATATCTTTTCTTTGGTCTTCGTGGCTAAGGATGCTAGGAAGATTCCCACACCTGAGCCATTCTTTTTAGGTGACAATTCTGAGAAAGTGTCCCAGATTGAGGTGTCAGAGGTGGTTTTGAAACAGACTGATAAACTAAACAGTAACAAATCACCAGGACCAGATGACATTTTCCCAAGAGCTCTGAAACAACTCAGATGTGAAAATGTGGAATCATTAACTGTGGTTTATAATCTATACTTTAACTCAGCTTCTGTACCTAATGACTGGAAGATAGCTAGTGTGACACCAATATTTAAAAAGAGCTCTAGAGGTGATCCTAGCAATTACAGACTGATCAGTCTAATATCAGTACTGGGCAAATTAGATGAAACTATAGTTAAGAACAGAATTGTCAGACACATAGATGAACATAATTTGTTGAGGAAAAGTCAACGTGGATTCTGTAAAACAGTGTTTCTTAAACTTTTTAATATCAAGGAACACCAAACAATACATTTGTTTAATGAGGAACACCAAGGATTTTTTGTTGACCCCCTCCCAAAAAGGGGGAAGGGTCAGGGGGACAGTTATTGAGCAATCAATCAATCAATCTCTTTAAGGGCAGCCATTTTGAATTCTGTTGTTGTCTGCGGCACACCTCTGACTGCCTCGCGGCACACCGGTGTGCCGCGGAACACTGCTGTAAAGGGAAATCATGCCTTACTAGAGTTCTTTGAGGGGGTCAAAATCACATGGACAAAGGGAGATCCAGTGGATATAGTGTACTTAGATTTCCAGAAAGCCTTTGACAAGGTCCCTCACCAAAGGTTCTTAAGCAAAGTTAGTTGTCATGGGATAAAAGGGAAGGTCTTTCATGGGCTGATAACTGGTTAAAAGACAGGAAACAAAGGGTAGGAATAAAAGGTCAGTTTTCAGCATGGAGAGAGGTAACTAGTGGTGTCTCCTAAGGGTCTATACTGGGACCGATCCTATTTAGCCTATTTATAAATGATCTGGAGAACAGGGTAAATAGTGAGGTGGCAAAATTTGTAGATAATCCTTAACTGCTCAAGATAGTTAAGAACAAAGTAGACTGTGAAGAGCTTCAAAAGGATCTCACAAAACTAGGTGATGGAGCAACAAAATGGCAAATGAATGTTAATGTTGATAAATGCAAACTAATGCCCTTTGGAAAAAATAATCTCAACTATATATACAAAATGATGGGGACTAATTTAGCTCTAACCACTCAAGAGAGAGATCTTGGCGTCATGGTGCATAGTTCTCTGAAAACATCCACTCTGAAAAAGGCAACAAGGGGGGGGGGGGGGGGGGGCCGGGGGGGCGCCGTGGGGGATAGTCAACTAGTCGTTTACATCCCTAGTATCCAGTGGGGTGAGAAGAACAGAGTCATCTAGTTGCTGCCCACTCTAATAAGGAGTTTAGACGTGTGCTTATATTTATTTTATTTTGGAAACCACTCTGACTTGTTGCCTATCACTTACAGTCACTTGAATTCTAGCTTTTATTGTCAATACATTTGCTTTACTGTTTATTTTTACCAGTGAGGTTGCCTGAAGTGTCTCATAAATCTGCTCAGTTTGCAAAGGCTGCTGTGTATCCTCTTTCTATTAATGACGTGGTGAACCAATTCATTATCCTGCATAGCTTAAGAAAGGATCTTGAGCAGTGCAGGATGGTGCATATTTCTGAGATACAAGCCTGGGAACTGGAGGGTTTGCCTCCTGCCTTTCTCTGTATGATTCATAAGTGTATTCAGCCAGTCTAGCTGGGTAGCGGGCCCCACATGCTCTTGTGCTGAGTGATGATAGCCTCTGGAGGGGTTTGCTGCTTATCACTGAGAGACAGCCCAGGCTGGAGAGTTAAGGGGCACAGTGGTCGCATGGTTCCAGGAGACATCCCAGGGAACCCATCACAGAAGGTTCATATACACTCTTACCCTAATCGTAAGGAATCAGTAATTAGGAGCAGCATACTGCAGTAGTGCATAGAACAGGGCCCCACTGAGCAAACACCAGACTGTACTGGTGCATCTACACAGCAGCCTAAACTCAAAATAAGATACATAATTTGTGCTATGCAAACTGAGTATCTTATTTTGACTGTATTTCAAAATAACTTTTCAAAATTTGGCACATCTACACAGCGCATAGATTCATGGAACGAGGACAAATGAGTTTCCCTGTCACTTCTGACTATTTGATTAACTAGTTTTTAGAGAACCCTCCATCAAAATTAGTACCTTATTAAGATATAAAATCCTTTTTTATTACTAAAATCTTTGGAAACATATTTTTAATGTACAAATATGGTAAAATTTCATAAGCATGTATTGAAATAGTGTTCCCTTTTTCTAAAAGCAATGGATTTTGTTATGAACACACTAAACTGCTCTGGTTGATTAATTTAAAACAATGTCCTTGTTTCAGTGAGTTTATATATGTAGTAATCTGGCATGATTACTTTAAATATACTCTTAAGCCTTCATAAAGTATAAAATCATCTTAGAAATGCCCATGAAGAAAATGTAAAGTAGAGAAGGGCTGCATCATGTATTCTGTAAGTCTAGCTCACAACACTCCTGTTGAAGCATTCCAGAATCATGTTTGCTTTTTTTCCCCAACGGTGTCATATTGTTGACTCATATTTAGCTTGTGGTCCACTATGACCCCTAGATCCCTTTCTGCAGTACTCCCTCCTAGAGCAGTCACTTCCTATTCTGTATGTGTGAAACTGATTGTTCTTTCCTAAGTGGAGCACTTTGCATTTGTCCTTATTAAATTTCATCCTATTTACCTCAGATAGAATCATAGAATCATAGAATAATAGGACTGGAAGGGACCTCGAGAGGTCATCGAGTCCAGCCCCCCGCCCTCAAGGCAGGACCAAGCTCCGTCTACACCATCCCTGACAGATGTCTATCTAACCTGTTCTTAAATATCTCCAGAGAGGGAGATTCCACCACCTCCCTTGGCAATTTATTCCAATATTTGACCACCCTGACAGTTAGGAATGTTTTCCTAATGTCCAATCTAAACCTCCCCTGCTGCACTTTAAGCCCATTACTCCATGTCCTGTCCTCAGAAACCAAGAGGAACAAATTTTCTCCTTCCTCCTTGTGACACCCTTTTAGATATTTGAAAACCACTATCATGTCCCCCCTTAATCTTCTTTTTTCCAAACTAAACAAGCCCAGTTCATGAAGCCTGGCTTCATAGGCTTCTCTAGACCTTTAATCATTCTTGTCACTCTTCTCTGTACCCTTTCCAATTTCTCCACATCTTTCTTGAAATGTGGCGCCCAGAACTGGACACAGTACTCCAGCTGAGGCCTAACTAGTGCAGAATAGAGCGGCAGAATGACTTCACGAGTTTTGCTTACAACACACCTGTTGATACAACCTAGAATCATATTTGCTTTTTTGGCAACAGCATCACACTGTTGACTCATATTCAACTTGTGGTCCACTCAAATGCTTCATTAAATTCTAGGTATACCGCACCTACCACTTCTCCCTTATCCACTTGTTATCGTATCAAACAAACATCAGATTTGTCCCACTGCCTCGTCTGCACTGTCTCTGCCTCGCTGCTCCTTTCCATCTACATTGTGGGTCTCTTGGGGTACCCAGTACAGGGGCATCCTTACCTCCATAGGCTCCAGAACAGGCTCACTTAAATCCACCTTTTCGGCATAGGCCTGGAGCAATGCAAATATGTCCTTCCACCTGATGGCTTCCTGCAGCCCCTGGGAGTGGGCAGCTGGGTTCCTGGCTTTCCTCTGGGCATATTTCCTCTCCATGTACTTGGAAATGATGAAATCTTTACGAAGGGCCCTGGGGTGGAAGGAGAGTTCGAATCCACATGAGACTGTGCAAGCCCTGGAGCACGATTGCTCCTGCTCAGACTTGAGGTTTCGAGGCAGGTATCAGCAGAGGGGCAGTGCTTCCTCTCCTCTATTTCTGCTGGCTCCTTCTTTATCTCTGCCCTTCTTTTCCTCTTGCGTGGCCGCCGACCTGCTGTACCACTCCCCACACCCTGCTCCAGAAGCACTGCCCACTCTGGAGACATTGCTGCTATCTTAAATCGCAGCTCCTGAAGTCACATGTTTACATGGAAGTATTTGGGGTTTTATCTTCCCAAAGGCAGTTTCTGGACACTGGAAGCCAGGTCATACATGTAGGTGAATAGCCCACAAACTCAACAGCAAAGAACATTCCATGTTATCACTTCATGAGGTCTGGGCTTGACCCGTGATTTTGACATGTCACATTAGCAGTGCTGCCCTGACTGGGGGCACTCTGTGGATTTGTCAGGCAGAGTACAGAGGATTTCAATGCACTAAGCTAAGGCACGGTGCAGGACAAGAGGGGAGAGGGAGCAGAGCACCAGCATGCTGCACAAGAGCACATCAACCCTACCGCCCCTCTGAACTGGCAGGCTTCAAGGGCTTTCACCAGAAGCCAATGCTATGGCTTACTGGATGGTGGAAACAAGCAATGGAGACACCTGCCAGCACCTCCAGCCTACCCTGGGCTAGGGCAGGATTGTTCCCTGGGGTTTGTTTTCTAGCATTTTATCCTATTTAGTTTTAAAAACCTCAAATCATGGGATTCCTTCCCTGTCCCCTGGGAGGTGCTTGCATCACCTCATATAGCTCACCACCAGAGGGCACTTTCTGAGATGCAGCTTCTTTTCCCTCTCTCAATTTCCTCCCATTCCCTCCAGATCACATTTGGACCACGCAGCACGTGGCCGTGCATGCCCCTCCCCCCAGACAGTCTTGCATTAGCCAAAGCTCTGCAAATTGAGCTCTCTATTCTTTCCATATATAGCAGGGCCTCTTGCTTTACGTCCTCTGTAAGGTGGATAGAAAGCTGGCCAGATCATCAGGCTCAATGGGTAGTGGATCAATGGCTTGATGCCTAGTTGGCAACTGCTAGCAAGTGGAGTGCCCTAGGGGTCTGTCTTCGGACTGGTTTTGTACAGCATCTTCATTAATGATCTGGATGAGGGGATGGATTGCACACCAGCAAGTTCACAGATGGCACTAAGCTGGGGGGAGGGGTACATACATTGGATGGTAGGGTTGGCTTCCAGAGTGACCTGATTAATTGGAGGATCTTGCCAAAAGAAATCTGATGAGGTTCAACAAGCACAAATGCAGAGTCCTGCACTTGGGATGGAGGAATCCCAAGCATTGTTACAGGCTGGGGACTGACTGGCTAAGTAGCAGTTTTACAGAAAAGGACCCAGGGATGACAGTGGACAAGTTATGAGTCAACAGCATGTCCTTGCTGCCAAGTAGGCTAACAACATTTTGGGCTTCATTAGTAGGTGCACTGCCAGCACATCAAGGGAAGAGATTCTTCCCTTCTACTTAGCTCTGGTGAAGCTATATTTGGAGAGCTGCTCCAGGTTTGGGCTCT